CGATGGTTTTTTAAAAAACCTGCCGCTACCGCGCCGCTGCCGCGATGACTTTTTAAAAAATCTGCCGCTGCCGCGCCGCCACCGCCATCGCGGCAGCGGCAGCGCCGCGATGGACATCTCTGGCAGATAGACGACTTCCTCTTTCTACTGCATATATATACACCATCGCTCTTTCTTCAATGTCAAATAGGCGCTATAATGAAAATGAACTGATAGTCTTCTTGCTTTTTTCTGTTGTTTTCATCAATGGTGACTGTAATCGAGAACAAACAAGAATCAATGAAGGAACCGAACTGTGTTGTTATTACGACACAAAAGGAATTCCAACCATTGGAGTCGGGTTCAACCTTCATCGGGTTGATGCAAAAATCGTAATGAAAAGCTTTGATCTACAACTGGACGATGTTATCAATGATTGTCGATTGTCATAAAAAGATCGCACTCAATGTCTGACCGAGTTGCAAGCGGCTACTCTATATAATGATCACACTTATCCAGCAGCTCGGTTGTGTGCCAACAAGTACAAACTTTTTATGCCACCAAACGTTCGTGCGACACTAGCGGACATAGCTTTTGCAGGTTGTCGCACACTTAATCAATTCAAGAAAATGAAGAAGGCGCTTCGCGAGAGAAACTGGAAAAAGGCAAGCTGGGAATTAAAAACATAAAAACGGTGTCGAGATGTGAAAAAGACTCGATGCAAATTAGCAGTAGATTGTATTGCTTCTGGAAAATAAAACTTAAATTTTAATTCAACAATGTCTATGCATCATGAAATAAAGTATTCGCAAAAATCTTACTTATTGCCCTTATTCTTAAGCAATTGCGCCACATCTATGCTCATAAAGAAGAAAAAAAGTTGATTTTTTTTCTTGAGGGTGGGCGTGGAAGAAGCTGATGATGACAAAAACTCACACCCATGCCACACCTACACCCATATCCGCTTATATAAATTTTCTTTGGCGTATTTCTGTGCATAGTAAACTCTTATGATTAATGTTTCATCAAAATTTACTAGATATGTATGAAATTCATTTTATTATCAAATTGTCAGTGATGATGAGCATGTCGAATTTAGAATGATGTGTGAATGTAAATGAACAATTTTTTCTTTGGTTGAAAATAGCACGTATTTTTCAAACGAGATCTTACTGATATATGATGCTCTCAGTTTGGATGTATACAGTATTGATACAGAATTAGCCACTAAAACGAAAAATTTCTCCGAACGCAGATAAATTCTTTAGGAAATTTTCTCTGCTATCAAACTTAAGGAAATGCTGGATTCTCTTTTTCACTTGTACATTCAAAGAAAAGTGAAACAGACGTCGATTTGGTTAACATATCAAAATTTCATATAAGAAAACTAATCTTGATTAATAAGCAACTCATAAAAGCAGTTTTTAACTCAAAAAGTCATAGTGTGTTTGTTTATTCGAATTCTCAAATGAAAAATTTCCCCAAATTTAAAACATTTCTTTCCAACATACGTTCGTGCATATCGTTAGATTCTGTGCGTCTGACTCTTGAAATCAATCAATAGAGTTAAGCAAGAGAAATCAAGCGATGTCACTAATGATTGCTAAACATAAGTCTAAGCGAGTAATTTGACAAAGATTGGAGCTAAAAGACAAAGCAGTGTTGTTTATAGATTCATTCGTTGACTATTGTCGAGTGAAATCAAAGCCTCTTCACATGTCGATGCGTAAATATGTCCATATTTATGTAACCATTTCAATTCTTCTCGGAGTTTGATTTTTTCATGCCATGGATTTCTATCAATATTATGACCTTCATTCGGAAAGACGATTAATTTATGCGGAACACCTAGAGAATAAAGTGCTCGTTCTAGTGCATAGCTATGCGCAACTAGAATTCGAACATCGTTTTCACCAGTGACAATATGTGTCGGTATCCGAACTTTGTCCAATTGAAATATTGTAACTTCTCCTTGATAGCGACTAGGAACTTGCCATGGAAAACCATCTAAGAAATAGAAATTGCTTATTGGCATATCATTTGTTCCCCAATCGATCACATTTTCAATACCACCAACACCACTAAGAGTAACATTGAAACGAGTTCTTTGTGTGATTAACCAATTCGTTAAGTATCCACCATAACTATATCTACCAATGGTCAACTTTTTGGGATCTGTAATCCCGGGGTGTGGGTGTGGGTGTGGATGGGGGGTGGGGGTGGGGATGGATGTGGTTGTGGCTGACAGTGTGAGTGTGAGCATCATTTAAGAGATGATAGATACCCACACCCACAGCCACACGCACCAACCCCACACCAAACACAACCACACCCAACACAACCATCCACACCTACACCCCATACCCACACCCACACCCACCTCACACCCACGCCCACATCTACACACCCACCCACCCACACTCACACCCTCAAGAAATGTTTATTCATTCGTTTTCAATGCATATTCATGACATCGAGTCCTAACTAGCATCTAGGCATTTTTTAGCTACGTTGCTCTGACTCATGCTAGATAAAAAGTCTTAGTCCAAAGTCTCTTATTATTCGATTATGAAAAATTTCCCATATCAATGTTTCCCTTCTACTGTTCTGTTTCCAGAAGGCATTATCGAACGTAAACGACAGACCAAATGTCAAGTGAATTGAGCTCAGCTCGAGCATGTGTTTAAGTCCAATTGTAGTTCTAGCTGGGTATTAGATTTTCGTATCTCTACGTACGAGTACAAAGACCGGAATCGATAAAAAAACTCTTGATCAGGTACGATTCGATTTGATTCTATCTTGAGATAGTTCAGTTCGGCGCTTATCTGATTAAATTAGATTTTTTATTCTCTGTCTTATAAATCAATTATCTTATGTAACTACATATTCTCGCATGGATGTGAGAGCGAAGAGTAAATGCCCTACCTCAAACTTTCATCCAGCGTGTCACACACACAAGCTACTCTCATCAATCTCGAAAAAAGAACTATATATTCTAAGAGTTAATTTGTGGGAATATATTTAATGCAATTGAGATACTAGTTTTCAGACGCAGGAATGATGCTACCTGATTTTTTTTGCTCGAGTACGATGTTTATTGCTTGTTGCAGCGCGAGAAATCGATCTTACAAAATTGTTGTAGTCAGTTTTTTGCCAATAAGTGATCACAGATATCGATCATTTTTATGAAAATCTTTTACCAATTTGATGATCATACGACAGAATTATTTTAGTGCGAAATAGGTGATATTTATAAGTATGAGTCAGGCTGCATCGTCACTGGCTCTTGTGAAGATGTATTTCTGTTTGTTGTTGGTGTGCTCAAATCTTAAATTATTCAATCAAAGAAACAACAAAAAACTCAAATAGAAATTTTAAGGAAAATAAAATCCTGAAAAGCGCACATTTGAAAGATTGTATTTTTATTAAACTTTTTAGTATGTTATGAACATGTAGTAATGTGCGCTTTTTACGATTTGATGTTGGTTTGAGATACTTAACGGATTTTTATACGTTAGATTGCTGAACTGAGTAAATCATTAGAGCAAAATAGCCCTATCAGTGGACGTAGTTTTCTGGAAAATAGCTCGAATAAGTTGTTGATCATGACAATCTTATCATCATCGTGTAGAATACACGATAATATCAAAATTTTAATAATACAAAACTCATCGATATTATTTCTTCAATAAATCAAGTGTATGGATAGGATTTTTTCTCTATAACAATATACTCTATTCAGAAATCAAACTTATAGTAACACATGAAACCATACAATAAAAACTATTCTAACTAGAACAATCTCATAAAACTAGCGAAGTTTGTGTAAAAGTAAAATATATTTAGAAAATGTTTCATAAGTCCTTGGGTCCATTTTGACTTTTTGAAATATTTTTCGGATATTTCAACCTACAGAAACATTGAAAATACGTAATAAAGGTTACATCTAAGTAACCATTCACTTTTATTCGTTTAAACTGCTACCATTAGTAAAGCTTTGAATAATTATTGGACAAACATTCATTAAATATTAAAATAATTTTAGCAAGCATATTTTATTGAAGCGAATACTAAATTAGATTCGAACATCAATTTTTATATTTACTTAAATTAAAACATATAAAGCCAAGGAATTAAAAAAAAACAGTCAATATGATGACATTATTCCCAGCTAATTTTCAATAAAGGATTTATTAATGTTGACAGTTGGGTTCAATAAGTTTTGAATAATAATATAAATGTTACTCTCTAAATGGCTGCATTTTACATTTCATATTTTAATCTCCAAATGTTTCATTTAAAAAAATATACACCACAAGAAACAGCATCAAAAGCTCGATACTCTAGAGTGCAAAGCTTCTTACAGTTGTTTACCTTTTATTTTCAAAATAAGCAAAGTTCTATGTAACTAATTTTTGAGGCTGCGAACATAATCATTTTTTGATAAGCGATCGGTTCGTTTTTTTTATCCCATCAATACAAGACAATCCTGTTTATTGACTAAAACTATTTCTCATGTAAAAATGTTGATGTTGCAAGTTGACAAGAACCAAAAGAATAAGAGAATATCAATCAAAAGGCTAAGTGTCCAAAAAGAATTATGGTATAATCAGAGACATCTATGAATGGTCTTACGCCGGGACAAACGGCTCCTAGACGACTTAAATAATTCTGTTCACAATGTTCTGAATCATTGCGTCTGTAATTCTAATACCGATAGTATTTATTGAGATAAAGTTAAAAACTATGATTAATTAATTAGAAATTTTGCTTATTTTGAACATAAAAGGTACACTATTAGAAGAAGCTTTACATTGTAGAACTTGTCACGTTGTATCTTATAGTATATTCAGTTTTTTTTTTTAATAATAAAACATATTTAGAGATAAAAGTAAGAAATGCAAAGTGCGATTGTTCATTATGGGTCACTTCCTATTTTATTTGAATTCACGAGACATTAGAATTAAGCCGAGATAAATCTCCATATGTGTCCTATACCTTAGAAATGTATGAGTGGAACATAGAATGCTCATACGTTTTAACACATTAAAACGCAAGCAATTAAACTTGTTTTTTTCTTGTTCTTTGACGTCGCATATGTTTTTTCTTTTTTTTTCTATTATTACCATTTTGATCTGATGAAGTATAAAGCTCTGTTAATGTTTTTTTTTGGAGATCAAATATCAGCTCTGCTTTGGTTATCTTTTAAAGTCATATAGGGTAAAGATGTTTATTGTTGTGCGTTAAAATTTTTTAAATCAGTCAACGCGTTGTTTCTGTCAAACAATATATCTTTGAATGTATTACTAATCGAAATACGATCGCTCGAGCAAAGAAATACCAAAAAAAATGCATGTTTTAACGCGTTAAAAAAAAAAATTCCTTCTTTGAAGAAAAATAAGTTTAAAAACAGGTTTTTTTTTCATCAACTCGTTTTTGTCTCACAAAAAAGAACATTTTATAACGCATTCAGACATGCGCTTGTTACAAGTAAAAACAAAAAAGAAATTTTCTTATTTGTTTGACCGTATTTATATAATTCAATACTCACGTTGCATGTTAAAAATAAATCAAGATATTATAGCCTTGATGCTTTAATAATGTAAATTTTACAAAAAAAAGTGTCTCAAGAACACAATATGAGTGTGTTAAATAATCTGAAACTGCATTATTATCATAGAGAAAACGTATTCTGAATGAGGGATTAATAACTACTTGTTGATTTACTTGATCCGTATTTGCATGAGATATGGTTCATTAAAAATAAAATATAATCTTTTCAATTATAATATAGTTGATACAAAAAAACTTCAGCAGATTAATTTGACAAAATACCAATAAAAGAGTTTGTTTTCAAATGAAATGTTTGTGGAAACTTTTGGTGTATTCTGTCAGATCGTAGACAAGTATTAAAATGTATTCTAGACTGTAAGTAAATATTATTTTTCATTTCAATAAAACAACACACAAGTTTTACTACAACACTATAGAGAAAAAATACCATATCGGTAAAAGCATGTTTATTAATATCTTAAAAGAATTTCGATCGTGTCATTACAGGCGACGAACGCAAGAAGCAATACGAAAAAAGAAAGAAAACATCATCTACCTCTCCATTTAATTTTACCGATGTAATAAAAATATATTACTGCAAGTCCAGCATAAATCTTACTATATATTTTTTCAATCGAATACTCAATTTCATGCATCATTTGTTTGCATAAAAACGGCATGGATAGAATAAAGTATCATCGAACAGTAACACTTAAGAGAAAGAAAGGCGAAACCTTTGGATTTTCACTTCATCGTGCCATTGGTAAGAATTAATATAATCATAAATAATATAGTGATATATTTTATTCTAGAGGATGGTGCTGAGTTTCGACTTGTTGAAGGTTTACCAACTTTACATAAAATAATAAAAGTTTTGGAAAATGGTTATGCTCATAAAGCTTCTTTGTGCAACGATGATCGTTTAATTGAGGTGATAGAATTAGAGTTTACTATAACTTTCATCCGATCATATGGTTTTTTTTATAGATCAATGGACAAGATGTGAAATCCAAATCTTATGCAGAATGCGTACAACTTATTCAAAATACTGGAGATACATTAACAATAAAAATAATTCGTGTGCCCGGAGAAAATACTATTAGCCAATTCCATCAAACATCTATTACAGCTACTGGTATGTTGTACATTCATCTATTGTTTCTAAGTAAAATATAAGAATAAAAAACATGAACACTTAAAATAAGTATCATTGATAATCATTTTCCAAAGTTGTCAATGTATTTTTGATCACCTACCAAA